GCTTTGCCACATTCCTTACATTTGTAAGGTTTCTCTCCAGTATGGATTCTGTTATGGTTTTTAAGTTTTGACAGCTGAGAGAAACACTTACCACATTCCTTACATTTGTAAGGTTTATCTCCAGTATGGGTTCTACAGTGGCTTTTAAGGTGTGACAACACATAAAAACATTTGCTGCACTGTTCACACTTGTAAGGCTTTTCATCAGCATGAATTTTATGATGTCTTCTAAGAGCTGTGCAGTGGGTGAAGCATTTGTCACATTCTACACATTTGCAAGATTTCTCTCCAGTATGGGTTCTATAATGGCTTTTAAGTCTTGACAGCTGAGAAAATGATTTCTCACATTCTCCACATTTGTAAGGTGTCTCTCCAGTATGGATTCTGTAGTGGCTTTTAAGGCCCGACAACCAATGAAAGAACTTACCACATTCACTGCACTTGTATGGTTTCTCCCTAGTGTGGACTCTGTAATGTTCCTTTAGTGTTGACAACAGATAGAAGGATTTACCACAGTCTTTGCATTTGTGGGGTTTCTCCCCAGTATGAATTTTCTGATGTGTACTAAGACCTGTGCAGTGGGTAAAGGCTTTGCCACATTCCTTACATTTGTAAGGTTTCTCTCCAGTATGGATTCTGTAATGGTTTTTAAGTCTAGATAACCGAGAAAAGCACTTACCACATTCCTCACATTTGTAAGGTTTCTCTCCAGTATGGACTCTGGAATGGTTTTTAAGTCTAGATAATCGAGAAAAGCCCTTATCACATTCATTACATTTGTAAGGTTTCTCTCCAGTATGGACTCTGCAATGGGTTTTAAGGTGAGATAACCACTTAAAAGACTTACCGCATTCTTTACACGTCCATGGTTTCTCTCCAATATGAAGTCTTTCATGTGTACTCAGGCTTGAACAGCATTTCCCACAATGGTGTGCTTTGTCTCCACTATGGATTCTTTGCTGAACAAGTTTTTGTGCAGAACCCAAAAGTTTATCACTTTCTGCATACTTGTGTTCTATCTATATAGTGTGAATACTTGGATTTAGACTATTATTGGAACATAAACATTTGCCACAGTCTTCATATTTGAAAAGTTCTTCTCCAGTGTGCACACTTTTATGTCTGTTTAGGTTTGATGAGTCAGTGGAGGCATCCCTGTGGTTACCACATGTGTAGATGCTGCAGTTTTCTGCAGAATCATTTGTGTCATAAGGTGTAGAATGGGAGGATTCATGAAGCATTTTGCCAAGCTGATTATACTTGTAAGATTTCCCTTGGATATTCACATGCTGACATATAATATAGTTCGAGTCTTGATCCAAGAAGTTCTCGTATTTACCACACACGCAATGGTTCTCTGGGAAGTAAGCACAATTAGAGGTAATAGGGAAAGACTCATGAGTAAGATTCAATAGCTGATGTCACCTTAAGTTCTCTAAGACAAGTAATAATTATTTAGAATAGGGCTCTTAGTGGAGAGCTTTTTACTTTCCCTATCATTATTTGAATGTTGAGAACCTCCATTTTGACATTCATCACACTGTGGGGACTGATAACAGAATTCTCATTCTTCTCTAAACAGCATTACTTGTAGAAGGTGTGACAAATAGATGATGAAAAAAATAAATAACTTTCAGAAAAAAAGCTCTCTGAAGGATTATATTTAAAATATCTCTCTTTAAAATCTCTTTTCCCACAAAATAATTAACGAACAGTTTTGTACAATACTAAAATGAAAATAATCAACTTACAAAGTGTATTGAAATGCATATCTCTTCCACACATTTAACATTCAATGTTTCACTAAAAACTTGGTAAGATAGCCGGAGAGATGGGTCAGCAGTTAAGAGCATTTATTGTTTTCTCAGATGACTTTATACACCTATAAACCAGGTAAATACAAAAGATCGAATTCTGTAAGAAAAATGTTCTCACCAACAAAGACCAGGTTGCTGTAATTCTCCAACATCACATCAATGTACAAAGCCCTCTGAGTAGAGTCTAGGTATTCCCACTCCTCCTGGGAGAAGTCCAAAGCCACGGCCCCAAATGTTAGCAGACCCTGTAATGGATATTTAAGAGTTTTACCATGTGCTGCTGGGGAGAATGCTTTCCTAGTAAAAGAATTATAGGAACCTAGGAACATTTATGTGATGTAGATGAGGCAGGAAAATTATTTTTTTAAAGATTTATTTATTTATTTATTATGTATACAACATTCTGCCTCCATATATGCCTGCATGCCAGAGGAGGGTGCCAGATATCATTACAGATGGTTGTCAGCCACCATGTGGTTGCTGGGAATCGAACTCAGGACCTCTGGAAGAGCAGCCAGTGCTCTTAACCACTGAGCCATCTCTCCAGCCCCCAGGAAGATTATTTTTTAAAAAAGATTTATTTATTCATTATGTAAACAGTGTTCTGCCTTCATATATACCTGCATGCCAGAAGAGGGTGCCAGATCTCATTATAGATGGTTGTGAGTCACCATGTGGTTACCTGGAATTGAATTTAGAGTCTCTAGAAGAGCAACCAGTGCTCTTATCCTCTGAGCCATGTCTACAAGCCCTGGAAAATTATTCTTTAATATGGAATGTAGACATAGTTTAATAGACAAAACTACTGTTTGTTCTTCCAGATGCTCTGGGTTTGGTTCCCAGGACCTAGATGGTATCCCATAACCACCTGTAGTTTCAGTTCCACCTGATCCATTGCCTTCTGAGGGCATGTAAGTAGGACTTAGACATACATGCAGGCTAAAATACTCATACATATAAAATTAAAATAAAATTCAATTGTATATTCTAACTTTGTGTGTTGTACAGCAGTTTCCTGAGAGTTTGAAACATTCTGCCCTGCAGAAAAACTTGTTAAACAGGAAGTAAACAACTCACAACTGTCAATAAAACTGAACAAATTCCTTAGATTCCTCCCTCCATTCATCCCTCCCTTCCTCCCTCCCTTCCTCCCTCCCTACCTCCCTCCCTACCTCCCTCCCTCCCTCCCTCACTCCCTCCCTCCCTCCCTCCCCAAAAGTATATGAAGAGTAAAGACTGCCAAAAGCCATTCTGACTCCGTAAGTCGAGCTGCAAGGATTTTTCAGATGAGCACAGGCATGCCCCCCCTCGCCCCAAGAAGAGACCAGCCTAGCAGCCTCAGCTGAGCTGCCTAGAAGAGGCTCTGGCCAAATGAGTCACCAGGAAATGATACCCTCCAACTTGTTGCACTGCTGGCAAGCAATACAGTCTGCTCCAGGTTTCCCGGATTTGTGAGATGTCATCCATGCTTGGGGATGGGCTTTGGTGATGCAGTGTCTGAGTCATTTCTACTTTTATAAGTAACCCTAGTAAAATTCATCGGTTCAGCAAGTTGGTGATATCCATGTAACATGGGCTCCCCTTATGTGTGTGAGCACACTTGTGTGTGCATGTGCATCTCCCCAGTCTGTCACACAATACTGAAAAAAGGATGACATGATAGTCCCACAGATGATATACTTTTAGGAAATATAAAAGTTTAAGGTTTAGAAACAGAAATCTACCATTTATGAAGTAGGAGTTTATGTCATATGGGTTCACAGTGTCACATCTCAGATGGAAAGTTTGTGGCAAGCAAAATTGTGTCTCTGAATGATACAACTGTGTCCATTGCAGCCTTTTCTCATAATCCCCAACTATGAAAAACAGTAGCTTCAGCAAAAGAGAAAAAGAGGTGGTAGGAGAGCCTTCCTCCTCCAGAGGAAAAGACTGGAACAATATAACTAAGAGGAATCTTCATTTCTGCTTATGTACATTACTCAACAGTCTCAAGAAAATTCTTACTGACATTCTACATGCTTTCACATAAAGACTCACAATCAGGAGAGGCTAAACAATAGGTCACTGTCTGAAAAGCACACAAAAGAAAAGTGAACATATTCATTCCTCTAGTTTGGAAAGTTACCCCTAATCATCAGAACCAAGAGAATGCTGTGAGTAGGAACAAACTCTTCTGAGACAAATAGAGATCAGGTGTCAACATATACAGGCACATCATCCCTGTGATATCAAATGCCAAAGGGAGAAACAGCAGACACAGTGTGCATCTCCTTACAGAAATACCAATTTCATGGCATGATCAAGGCTCTCTGGCCTGCCATCTTCAGCACTCTCTAGAGAGTTTAAATATTTAGCGATAGGATAGATGTGGATCCAAATAGCACATCTCTGAGTTCTTTTCCAAAGCATCAATACAGATTCTAGCAAGGAACTCAAGGCGGTCAAATGTGGAAACCTGACACATCCCTCAAATGGAACCTACATGGCACACGAGGCTTTAACTAATAAATGAATAACAAATCCATCCTTTGTAGCAATGAAACCACAACACATTTGTTTGAGCGCTTGTCACAATGGAAATGCAGGTCTTACTTTCATTGTGAATATTTGCCCTCACACAGAATCTGAAGAAAACTGGAGAAAAGGCTGTGGTAAACAGTAGACATGTATTTAAAGAGTTACTCTTGACTACAGGCTGGGGGCAAGGGAATACATGGGAAACAAACATTTCAAATGATAACTATCAGAAGCAGAGAATAAAACACTTTCCAGGTGTCTTACCTAGGGATTCTATTGCTGTCAAGAGACACTATGAGGAGGCAACTCTTAGAAAGGAGAACAATTCACTGGGGCTAGCTTACAGTTTCAGAGGTTCAGTCCATTTTTGTAATGACAAGAAAAATGGCGGCATGCAGGCATGGTGCTAAAGAAGGAGCTGAGAGTTCTACAACTTGATGCATAGGCCACAAAGTGACACTGGGCCTAGCTCGAGCATCTGAGACCTCAAAGTCCACCGCTACAGTGAAACACTTCTTCCAACAAGGTCACACGTGCTCCAACATGGCCACACCTCCTAGTAGTGCAGCTCCCTATGAGCCAAGCACTCAAACGTGAGTCTATGGTGGTCATTCCTATTCAAACCACCACACAAGATGTTAATATATAACAAGTCTCAAAGGAAAAAAGTGAACACAACACTGACCTGGGATGTACTTACTGGAGAAGTGGTCATTTCTTCTCGTTGCTCTGCTCTGACTTTCCATCTCAGAAACAATGACTGGACCTCTTCTTGCCCTTTCATACCAGGTGTCAAAATGCAAAACAAATATTAATAGTAAACTCTGTTAAGGAACAATGTCAATAATTCTAAAGCAAGGAGAGAATGGAAAAATATATTTAAATACCTGAAAGAAAATAACTGCCAGCCATGTTACTGCAGCCAGAAAAATATCTCTTAAAATCGACAGAGAAGTGTGTTTGAAGATAGTCAGGAGTTAACGCACGTCATTCCTCTTAAGCAGCACTGCGGATAATAATTAGAGGCAAAATATACAAAGATTAGTCAAAAAAATTATCATGAGACTACCAGAAATAAGACATTTCATGTGAGGAAGAGAAAAACAGAGGAGACCCAGGAGCAGTGACTGTATCTAACACACCAAACCAGAAAGCTACCAAGTATAACAAGGAAGGAATAAAAATGCTACCTGCAATCCAACCAGCCACATCAAAAATATCACAGGGAATAAAAACCATATGATAAAAATCCCAGTAGGACCTGGAAATGGCATTTGACAAAGTGCAACAAAGCCTCATGGTAAACTTCTTTTATTTATTTATTTATTTATTTATTTATTTATTTATTTATTATGCATACAATATTCTGTCTGTGTGTATGTCTGCAGGCCAGAAGAGGGCACCAGACCTCATTACAGATGGTTGTGAGCCACCATGTAATTGCCGGGAATTGAACTCAGGACCTTTGGAAGAGCAAGCAATGCTCTTAACCACTGAGTCATCTCTCCAGCCCCCTCATGGTAAACTTCTAAACAAACTAGGGATGGGCAGTAATGACACATGCCTTTAATTCCAACACTCGGGAGGTAGAGACAGGCAGATCACTGCAAGCTTGAGGTCCCCCTGTTCTACAGAGTGAGCGCTAGGACAACCATGGCTACACAGAAACCCTGATTTGAAAAACAAAAAGAAATTTAAAAAAAACTAAGAATAAACAGAACCCAGGTCAACATAATGAGAGGTACATGTGTCAATCCTAGGCCAACATTTATAGCAGAAAGAAAAAAATTAAAAATAGCATTACTTCAAAAAACTGTATTAAGAAAATACATGTGTTCTGTGGTCTCACATAATAATTATAAGAGCAAGCTGAAAATTTTGATAAAACAATAAAGGATAAAGAAACAGAAAACATACAGATAAAAAAGAATGATATAATCATATACACAAAACCCCCCTAGAGACACCGTGGGAAACTCTTAGACATGATAAATGCTTCACATAATATTGAAGAATACACAATTATAATAGAAATGCTGCTCCTTCTTCTATGTGCCAACAATGGGACACATTGCTTTGTTAAGAAACAAAGTAAGAAAGTAACCCATTCACAGTTACTGTAAAACACTTAGGAATAGCCCAATGATGCTGGCACACGCCTTTAATCCCAGCACTCAGGAGGCAGAGGTGGGTAGATCTCTGTGAGTTCGAGGCTAGGCTAGTCTACAGAGTGAGTTCCAGGACAGCCAGGGCTACAAGGAGAAACCCTGTTTCAAAAAACCCAACCAAATCAAGCAACCAAAGACCTAAAAATACGCCTAAATAACAACTTAATAAATGCCTATGATGAAAATTTAGGACACTGAAGAAGAAAATGAAATTCTATGCACATTCACTGTGAAAAGTGACATGGGGTAAATGGCTAAATCACTAACAACTGCCGTCTACAGAGTCAATGCAGTCCCCACGTGCAAAATACTGACATTCTTCACAGAAGCAGAGAACACTTTCTAAAAGTTATATGCAAACAGGAAAATCACAAATATCCAGATCAATCTTTGGAATAGTCCTGGGGTATCCCAGGACCTGACTTCAAGTTACAAAACCGATCCAAGTGACAAAGACAACATGGTTATGCACATAAACAAACACGTGAGAAATTGAAAAGAACACAGAACTCACAGGAAAGACAGCTAATTTATGTCAAAGAAGTACCCATGAAAGGAGAGAGCACCCTGAACACACTGGATTGGCAAAGCAACAATCCACATGCAGAAAAATGACACCAGATCCATGTCTCTCACCCTACATAGAAATCAATTCAAACTAGATCAAGGACCTACCTGGAAAACTTGAGAGGCTGCAAGTCTTCAAGGAAGATATAATTTAATGCTTAATAATTCCGGAATAAGCAAACAGTAAAAGAGCTTCCAGAAGCTCAGAAATTAAGCCAGAAACACAAAACAAAAATAAATCTGACCATAAGATTTCATGGAGTAAAGAATTGCAAGTACAGCAAAAGAAAATATCAAAAAAGTGCATGAGAACCAAGGGAGTGGGCTTGGACTCTCAGCCTCATGGTTCTCAACATGTGGGTCACGACCCCTTCAGGAGTTGAACAACCATTTCACAGGGGGCGCCTAAGACCACTAGAAAACCAGATATTTACGATTCTTAACAGTAGCAAAATCACAGTTATGAAGTAGCAATGAAAGTAACGTCATGGTTGGGATTCACCACAACAGGAGGAACTATATGAAAGGGTCGTAGCATTGGGAAGGTTGAGAACCACTGCCCTAGCAGTTTTTCTTGACATGGGGAAATATAAAAAATATTATACAAATGGAAACACCTGGAGCCCAAGTCATTTAATATAAAAATGGTTTTACCAAAAAACTAAAGAGCGATGGATCAGTAAGTAGTTAAAGGGCACTGACTGGTCTTCCTGAGGACCTGGGTACAATTCCCATCAACACAAGTTACTCCAATTCAAGGGAATCCAACGACCTCTTCCGGCCTACACAGGTATACAGACATGCATGCAGACAAAATATTCATACACAAAAAATAAACTAAAAACTTCTTTTTAAAAATAAAAACAAAAGTTAAAGGGGGGCTGGAGACATGGTTCAGTGGCTAAGAGCACTTACTCTGTTTGAGTTCCCGGGCTCACATGATAGCTTACAACCATGTGTGACTGGCATTCTTTGTGTGACAGGTGGCAAATCTGAACAGTGATATATAGAAAGAGTAGGTGGAATCAAGGAGACGCCATGTAGCTGCCAAAGGAGAAAGATGCTAGGATCTTACTGGTAACCCACAGCCTCATGGCAAGACATAGATTAATAGAAATGTGTTAATTTAAAATGTAAGAGCTAGTTAGGAATATGCCTGAGCCATTGGCCAAACAGTGTTGTAATTAATATCATTTCTGTGTGATTATTTGGGTCTGGGCAGCCAGGAAATGAAAGCACATTTGTTGCCTATAGACATGATATATACACAAAGGACCTGTAGGTTAAAAATAGAGAAATGAAATAAATAAGAGAACATTTGAAAAAGAAAAAGAAAATTCTCCCTTTATCCTCCGTCCAAAGATGCCAATGAGTTCATTTTCTGGAAATCACGATGCAGTCTTGAGGTGGGAAAGCATCATAGATGAACAACTGAGCACTGTGTTCTTCATATGGCCTCTCTAAGGCAAGAGTGCAATGTTTAATGGCAGCATCAAAAGATTACAGCTCAGACAAAAGTCTGCTTTCATATTGACAGAGGACATGGGAACTCTGTATGTTCTGAGGCTAAATATAGAAATAATTTTCAGTGTGAACAC